TTATTGTTTACACCAACTGATTTTTTTAAAATGCAGATTGGATTAGTAGCTATATATATATGATATGAGTTTTATTTACACTTATTTATAGGAGTTATTTTTTTTACACTGAACATTGTATTTATTCACCATATGGCTTTCCTAGTTCTTTATGCCATATAAAGACCTCATAAGTTTGGAGATTTAGTTGGTTATCATAGCGCAGAAGCATCAGGCTTTGGTATTAAATCTGTAAGGCTGCCACCTGGTCCTCAGTTTACTTAGTCAGGTTCAGGCTTTGGCAGATGCCCAGCTGCAGTTGCAAAGTTCTTCAGGTGGCCCGATGGGGGCCACACACTAGTTGAAGTCACTCATCCAGTGTATGGCCAGCTTTAATCGCTTGGCTTTAGAGAGATTCAGGTCATCTTTTGTTCAGCACATTTAAATGAATGTACTCCTTCTAAAAATTAGCAACACTTAGTTAAATCTGTAAATAAGACAAAAACGTCTCCACCTCTGTGGTTATGAAATCAATTAACACATGGAAGCAAGAGCTTGATCAGTTGACTCTTAAAGTAAACTTGCACAGAAATTGTCTTAAGGCCTCTCATTCTACCTATATACAGATGTAGGCCTTTTATAGTCTGAAGATCTCCAACACGACATTCTGCTTAATAATCAGACTGGGTCTTTAGCTGATATAGGTTTCTTTGAGGATAAAACTCTATTGTGACTTTGTACAGCATACAGCTTTTGTGTTGTAACAGAAATACAAAAATAGAATTTTTGGCTTTCTTGAAACATCCACTAGTAATACCACATAAATATAACACTCAGGCAAACAAGTCAAGGGTTGTTACCTTTTTTTCTTCTTCTTTTTTTTTAATAGGTATAATTGATTACATTACTGAACAAGCTGGTCCACCATCTAAACAAGTTCAGGCTATTAAACAAGTACAGGAGCATTTGAAAGATGGAGATGATGTTGTAGTCCTTGGAGTTTTCAGCGATAACCAAAAGAGAGAATTTGAACTCTATCAGGATACAGGTATAGATTTAAAATGTCATCTTTATTTGTATGCAAATAACAAACTGTTTTTTATTGAATGATCAATTGTGGATCACAGATATAGTACAAGTACAGTTAAGAAAAATAAACATCTTGAATTGATTCCTTGTTCAAATTTTTATCTGACGATGTGATTGAAGAACAGACAACCAGTGGTGTCTAGAACTTTATAATTGAGAAAGTACAAATAAGGCTGCTGTATGACAGTTTTTATTCACGTACCAGTTCAGTTACTATGTGATGCACATGCCTCATAAAGTGAACAAAAACAAACTTCTACCTCCCTTGACTGAGCCAAATCTTCCTTAATTTATGTCTGACATGCTCCCCTACCAAACACTGCGGTTTACAATGAAATGGTTTCATCAAGGCAGTGCTGTCAATTTTAAAAGCAGTGGGTAGGACTAGGTGTGGCCAAGTGCTGATTGACAAGCTTGCGCGTTAGTGACAATGGAGGTACCGGTAGCTACTCAGCCAGGGCCGGCTTTAGGCACCCTGTGCAAGAAAGCTCTACATTGCCCCTCAGTGACCACACCCATCAGTAACCACACCCATTTCTCCAATATACACACCATTTAAAGACTCCCAAAGAAACATATTAAAAAGTATGATAAAACAAACTTTATTTAAAGGTATTAAACCTGTAGGCACAATATAAGTATTCTTATTAAATAAAACAGAAGGCAAACAAGTGCAAACAATAAATGTCAAAGTTAAATAGTCTATAAAATAAAGTTTCAGGTTGTCGCGCAGACTCTTTCTTCCAGTAAGTGCATCTAGAAAAGTAAAAATAAAAAACAGAATGCCAAAGCCAGACTATGTTAAGTGAATGAATTACTATGTGCCCGAATATACAAAAAATGTATTCAGACACATAATTTGTTTGAGTCTGTGCGACGGCCATGTTGGCCACTGGCGCGTTCTGCAAATGCGTGCCACTATCTTGGAGGCGGGAAGCATGATGTCACATGACACCATGCGTGGCTTTAGGTGAAGTCACACGCCAATATAGGCAACGCCATCTTAGTGTATACCTAGATATACACCATGATGGCGGCGCCCAACATGTGCGGTGTCATATATGACGTCATGCGCCCTGTCTCCAGAACACGCCATTTGTTTTGTTTGATGAAACGATTGAAAACATTTTTTGTTTTCGTAAAAAGAAATTGAGGACACAAAGTCCTCAATTTATTTTTCTGCAGCCTCAGCACAGAGGCTTCCCATTCATTCAGAAAAGATGGCAAAATATTTTACTATCACCTGTTTCTGAATGGGGAGGAGCCTTGGTAGTGACTGCTACTCCCCATTCAGAAATTCATGAATGAACTGGATGTGATGTAATCACATCCTGTTCATTCATAACTGGGGACACATAGTACTATGTGTCTCCAGTTATTTACAAACAGGGGACACAGTTATTTACAAGCAGGCTTCAGCAGACAGTTTCTCCTCGGAACCGAGGACAGCGCTGAAGCGGGCGGGAGTGAGGAGGGAGTGCTGTCATGTCAAGTGGCCAGCGGTGAGGAGGAGAGAAGCCGCAGCCTGTAGCCGCCCACGAGGACGAGCTGTGTCGGCCGCCTGGCGCCCTTGTTGCCATGGCGTCCTGTGCGGTCGCAGAGCTCGAACACCCCAAAGGCCGGCCCTTCATGCAGCTTCAACTTTCTTTTCCTTCCACTGTAGTGCAAGCATGCACAGCCTACATGAGTGGCAACTGTGCTCTGCATTCAGGAGCAGTGCATCATTGTCACAGCATCAGAGGAAGTTACATTAGGTGGACTTAATTAGCAGGCTTAACAGGTATTTGCGGGACTTTGCAGGAGGCCAAAGAGAAAACTGTAAATGCAGGTGCACTTATAATTAACTGCAGCACATTTTTTTTACATTGGACATAGTTATACTTTAAATCTGCTTTTTTGCATTTAGGCATCTTGTTGACGTTACAACTGCAAGCATCATCTATTACATTAGATCACCAATTGCTGTGAACGACAAGTCACAGCATAGCCTGACCGCCTATTGGCTAGCCTTATGTCCTTGGTATGAAACATATGATGTCCAGACGTTCTAGGACTAAACAAATATGGTTCTATCTGATCCGGTATTAAATAAAAAAAATTGCAAAAAAACTCTGAACTTTTAACCCTTTTGCTGCCAGTCCCGTTTTTGCACACATGACATAATCAATATTTTAGGTCTGAAAATTGCTTAAAACCCCAGAATTATGTATTTCCTCAAAGTAAAAACCCTGAAAAATAAAATGGTGGCAGTTAAAAAAAAAAAAAAGAAATGTTGCAACTCTTTATCAAACCCAAAATTTCAGTAAAAAAATACACTTTATTTTACAAAAAAGATGGGTATTTATATTGGGTTTTGCATGGTGCACTAAAATAAAAGAACTATAAGGTCACATAGTTCCACATAGTTCTCCTAAGGGTAACGGGAGGACACAAACCAGCATCCTCCTGTCACCCAAAGCTCTGTATACCGCTCGCGGTATACTGAGACGCCACAGCTGGGACGGATCCCGACATTACTGTCTTGATCCACCCAGCTGCGCGAGTGACAGCTGGCTCTGCCTTTCTAGAGGCAGAGCCAGCTGTACCCGCCCCCTCCCCCGTCCGTTCTGCTTGTCGGCACTGGAGGATCGGACAGGGAAGGGGGGAATCCCTGCAGGTAACCATGAGTGACAGTCACGGCTCTCTGCAGGGACAGAATCAAGAAGTGAGCGAGCGGCGGTATGTGTTCGCTCACTTCCCGATCTATTGAGCCGACCTGTGACAGTTTCATTGTCACAGGTCGGTTAGAACTATGAGGCTGAGTGATTTTCACTCACCTCATAGTTCTCCTTTTAAGAGGTTGTGCAGAGTAAATGGATACCCAACATGCCAAACTTTAAAAATGACATGCTTATGTGAAACGACTGAAAAATACAGTACCGCAAATTCTCCATAGGCGACACTCAGTCTTTACAGGCAATCAGTTTAGCATTAACCAAGAATAATGGTCCTAGAATTATTGCTCCTAAAATAATGACTCCATATTCCACTTATAGAAAAGCCATCTCAACTTCTAGAAAAACTTCCACACTTAATGACTGAAGAGAAACTTGAGATGTCATAAAAACAACCATTACTGATATGAGCTGAAATTACCTGAGCATCCACACTCCTGATCAGCCAGCATCTATGGGGAAACTTTTATTGTCAGAAAGGAGAACCTAATATGACTATATTAATAGCTGACCATCAGATTAGCAGGAAATACACATTTGTGAAGGATATGATGCTCTCGGAATACCTTTTGTGATCACTGAATTGGGCAAACAACTGAAGTATATGGGTCCAAGTGTCCCTGCTTTTCTTAGAGTTGCTATCAAAGCATGTGTGTGTGAAGCATATGGCCTCTGTCAAATCATGCCTGGATTACAATGACCAGTGGTTTCAAATAGCTGGGTCAAATACAATATCCATTTGGAATAATTTACTCATTTTAGTCTGTGGATCTGTTTTCAGTCATATTTTTTTCTGTTATCTACATACAGTAACTCCAACATGCTCATTGAGTAAATGTAAATCTACCAGCTCGTTATTGGCCATGATGGATTGCCCTATTTTATTTAATTATGGTTACAGCATACCCCGTTTTTAAGTTGCATAGTTACATAGTATTTGAGGTTGTATAAAGACATAGGTCCATAGAGTTCAACGTGTGTGTGTGTGTGGGGTGCATGTCTGCATATGAGTCCCTGTGTCATCTAGATTTTAAGATTACCTGTACCCCTGTATGCTCTGCTGCTACCACTGCCTGGGGTAGAGAGTTCCAAAATGTAACCACTCTGACTGACTGAGAAGAAGCCCTTACGCCCTTTGTGGTTAAATCTTTTCTCCACCAATTTTAGGTGGTGGCTTCTAGTCCTTGTTGGAGCGTTTAGAAAAAAAAGTTTATTGCTAATGTTGCCATCACCACCAAACATTTTGTACATTAAAATCCTGTCCCCTTTTAATCGCCTCACTTCAAGCGTGAACAAGTTTTAATTTTAGCAAGTGGGTGGCCGGGATGTGAAGAGGACAGGATGCGTGCGAGTGAGCTCCGCTGCCCTTACCTCGATCTGTCCGAGATATCCATCCTACCAGCGGACTTTTCCTCCACACGAACTGCTGGGGGGTGCAGTGCCGGTACACCGCTGTAGTATGCCCTCGAAATCGGGCAAGAAATCCTCCACGCCCGGGAACAAGCGCCGCAGACAGAACCCGTGTCCCTCGCCGGCCATCTTGCCTGAATCTCACTCCGCACGTCTGACTGTGGTGAGTGAGATGCCTGCAGCCATGGATGGGGAATTGCTGGTGAGTCAGGAGGGGCTGGCCCCATCGCCCCCGTGGCAGTCAAGATATCAGCAGTCTGTAGCTCCGGCTGGTGCCCAAACGGCATAGAGGCAAGCAGGGTGGCACTCACTACAAAAATAGATCACCTAGCGATCGAATGTTCCCTCATTCGCAGTGATTTGGACAAATTTAGAGGGTGCCTGTATGAGGCTGAGTATAGAGTGTCGGGCCCAGAAGACACGGTAGTTGAACACTCCACCTCCATTACTGAACTACAACGCCTGGTACGTGCATTATCAGCGAGAGCAGAGGATGCTGAGAATAGGATGCACAGAAATAATATCAGCATTATTGGCCTGCCAGAGGGTGCAGAGGGAACACAGCCAGTACAGTTTTCGAAGTACCTTTTCAAGAAGGTGTTGGGTGTGGCGGAGGCCCCTGTCACTTTTGTGGTTGAAAGGGCGCATCGGGTGCCTCTCCAGGGGTCGCACCGAGACCCTTTCTGGCAAGATTATTGAATTACAGGGACAGACGCTGTGCTGACTGCGGCCTGGAATTCTCCTGCTTTGCACCATAAGAATACAGTGATCAATTTGTTGCCGGATTTTTCGGCGGATGTGCAGAAGTGCAGACCTTCTTTCCAGGATGTCAGAT